GTTGCAGTGAGCCGAGATCGTGCCATTGCACTCCAGCCTGGGTAACAAGAGCGAAACTCCATCTCAAAAAAAAAAAAAGAAAAGCTAAGTTTTGTCTAATAGCAAATGGTCAATCCTCCTCAAAATAATCATTATATATAATTTGTGAAAAGTAAAAGAATGTTTTTATGGAATGTTCTAAAGGTAAATAATAAAATACAGAGCTAATATTTATTAATTTGTTCATTTTTCAAATATTTGAATATGCCTTTGTTATATTAGATACTATGCCAGTATTACCAATGGTATAAAATCCTACCCTTACCCACAAAGAGTTTATAATTTACCGAGTAGAGATAAAGATAAAGCTCAATGACAAATAACTAAATATTATATTGAACCATATGAAACTGCCATTTTTTATAAGTCAAAAATGATAAAATATCAATATATGCTTCAACCTACAAAAAGCAGCTATAACAAAGCTGAGAATAGCCTCAGTGTTTCAACCACGTTCAGAGTTGCATGACTATGTGCAAGTAAATTAACTAGGCCTCAGTCTCCTTAACTGTGGGATAAGGATAATGATAATACTGTTGGAAAGATTAAATGTGATGGTGCATATAAAGTTCCTAGAGCAGTGAATGACAAACAGCAGATGTTTAACACAGTCATCCAACAACTATGAATACTCACTAAGAGCCTATTATGTGCTAGTTTCAACATGTGGAGATATAGTCATTAAACAGACAAAAACCCCTGACTTAATGGAGATAATTTATAACGGAGGAGACTGATTAATTCTGAAAGGAACGGAGGAAAGAGAGAGAGAGACAGCAAGCAAGCATAATAAGGTGATGGGAGTTGCTAGAAGAATAGTCAGGGAAGAACCTGAAGAGATGGCATTTGATTAGGGACTTATATGAAGTGAAACAGTGGGACATTATGGCTAGCTGCTATTATGTACTGGGGTCAAAGAAAAGGAGAAGAGAACAAATGGGTAGGGGAACTAACATATCAGGTGTCTCCTATGTGCCAGGCACTTTATGAACATGATCAATTAACTTTCTAAGAAAGATTATGTCTGTGTTTCTCTTTTTTTTTTTTTAAGAGACAGGTCTGCTCTGTTGCCCAGGATGCGGTACAGTGGCACGATCATAACTCACTGCAGCCTCAAACTCCTGACCTCAATCTCAGCCTCCTGAGTAGTTAAGACTACAGGTGAGCACCACCACACCTGGCTAATTTTTTAAAATTTTAAAAAATTTAGTAGAGACAGGGTGTCACTATGTTGTGTTACTATGCTGAGGTTGGTCTCAAACTCCTGGCCTCAAGTAATTCTCCTACTTTGGCCACTCCAAAGTGCTGGAATTACAAGCATAAGCCACTGTGGCCTGCCCTATCTCAATTTTATGAGAAAACTGAAGCTCAGATTTCCCTAGGATCACAAATAAATTGAAAGTCAGGTTCCAAGGACCATGCTTGTTCTACAACATTATTCTACAAGGAAGAGTAATAACTAGAAACAGGGAAGAGATGGGTATAACTGAAAGTTTAAATTAAGATAATGGGAAAAATGAAGGAATACTTCAAAGTTTTTAGTACAGCTGACTTTGACAGTGCCAAAAATATATAAGTAAACAAATCAATAAATCAGTAAGTTGCTGCTTTTGAGAAAAAGATGAGGACGCCAGTTTTAGGTATGCCAAGTTTGAGATGCTCATCTAAGTTCTGGTGTATCTTATTGACTTGCATAATTATTTAAATTACTAAGATAAATCTGAAATGAGAAATTCCACTCATATCATTTGGCATGCTCATCTATATGAAAATATTCAAGAGTATTTGGAACCATAAGCTGAAAGAATATGTGAAGGTCAGAAGGAAAGTTTTAGAGTCATCCACAAAAGTACAAGTTGAAAAAGCTGAATGAGCAGATGATATTACCAAGGAATATACAGAGAAGGCAGAGTGAAAGGAAGACTGCTGAAAGAGCATGCTGGGAAGAAAAAGAAAGGATGGTTCAGATGATGAAATACATACAATGTATGTAATACAATGTCAGCAACTCAGATGGAAGTTTTAGCTAGAAGGAGAAAGATATGGAATTTGATAGGGAGAGGAAAAATTAAGTACAAGGAGCACTACCATGCAATAAGGGCCTTACTAAAGTCACATGCTGTAGTCCAAGAGCAGAAGGAGAGATATAAGTAATGGCTGTGACACACCTCAGCAAGCTGAGCCCCAGCAGGGGCACTGATTATAAAGGAAATGGCAAAAGCACCAGCAATAGAGTGCATAATGAGGGTCCCAGTAAAAGAACAGATAGCAAGGGAGTCTACAACTGAGTGATCAGTGGTGGGACCAGGACAGAGAGGACAACAAGGGCAGTGGAACAGATGGCAAGAGTACCTCTGACAGAATGGACAGTGACTGTCCCAGTGATAGAGCAGACAGTGGGGGCACCAACAATAGAGGGGACAGCAAGTACATCACAGCTAGTGCCCCTATCAAGGGTACTGGTGATAAAGTGGACAGTAAGGACACCTCTAATGGAGTGGGTAGTGAGGACACCATTGATAGACTGGATGATGAGGGTCCCAGCTGGAGAGACAAGTGAAGCCAAAAGAAAGCTAATGTACCTGGAGAGCAGGGAACACTAGCAGCAACCAGGAAAGAAATCAGAGGAAGACAAAGAGCAGACAAGTGGGCAGGATATGCAAAATATTTCATGACTGATATGGCAGAGGTACAGATCAACAGGAATGGATGTAGGCCGTGTTGATGTAGCCAACTCTTGGAGTTGCTATATTGTGGAGTACTAAAGAAGACGGTATTCATGAGACCTATAAGGCTTGCCTATGGTAATAAGGGGCTGAAAATAAAAATAAAGCTGACAGAGTGAGAGACTCAAGTCTGTCTGTATCAGAGGAGCACTGCACATGGAAATTTACCCAGGTGGCTGCCCATCTACATGGGTAAGTATGGAGGGCAGGAATGAATGGATGATGAAGCAGCCAGTTAGAAGACAGGTGGTAGGTACGAATTAGTATTAATCCAGGAGCTGTGCCCACTTGAGCAGAATCTGTATATTCATCATTTTAAACACAGTTCAAAATTAAATGGTACACACTGATATTTATATCTGACTTTTACAGATTGCATAAAACCAATTCAGCAAACTTTATTTCACATACTCAACAAATTACCTTTTCTTCCATCTCATAATCAACTCCAAATATGGGACTGGCAGAATAGATTTTGTGAAGTGAATTGATTTCCTTAACTGATTCTTGTAGTTTTTCCACAGGATCTATTTTAAAGCCAAGAACATATCCACCACTCTACAAGAGAAAATAATTATTAAAAAAAAAAAACCAACATGTCTCAAGAATTGCATTTATATGATAAATTTGATAGTCCTTATTTTAGAGCACAATATGTAAGTTCATTTTTTCAATTAAACTTTTTATTATGAAAAATTTCAGGCATATACAAAAACAGAAGAGTACAAACGGGAACCCCTACGGAGCCATCATACAGCTTCAAGAAGAAGCAACATGTGGCCAACTCTGTTTCATCTGTAACCTCGCCCTCACCTGAACCCCTCAACTCCCAACGCAGGCTTATTTTGAAGTATATCCAAATATAATTTCATCTGAAATATCAAAGGTAACCTTTCAAGATTTAAAAATTATACTGTAGACTGTGAAGGCCAAAATAACTAAGTTTTTCTTGAGCTAGGCCTTAAAAAGGAACAGAGTACATGAAAATAAGAAGGGAAATGGGCCATCTGTGGCTATCTCCTTGAAGAATTAGGAAAGAAACTGGGCCATGATAGAGTGTTTTGAGGAGTGTTAAAAAACTAAGTAGCGTACTGTAATAGGTAACAGTATATGCTCTGGGTTGAGAGCACTGCATTTATGTTCAAATTCTGGTTCTACCACTAATTCACTAGCTGTAGGACACTCAGAAACTTTCCTTAACCTTTTTAAGCCTCAATTTTCTAATTATAAAATGGTTATCAAGTTGTCATATTAAATAAGATAAATATATATACGACATTTGATATAGTTCTTGGAACAGAGTAAACACTCAATAAATGGCAGCTGTAGGCAGGGGAAGGAATGAGCAGACATTCATGTTTACATTTAGAATTTAGATGATAAGTAATTTTATAAATCACTTTTTAAAAATGTATTTAAAATTTTTCTTAGCCAGTCAAACCTACTACCATCAGACCAGCGTGTTTTATTCAAATGCATTTCTGCAAAAACCTGGCATAACGGAGCATAGAAGGTTATAATTAGTTAGCATATGTATATGTGAGAATATAAGATCTCAAACTGTGTGTGTGTGTGTGTGTGTGTGTGTGTGTGTGTGTGTGTGTATACACACAAATATATGGTTGTGTTTTTCTGAGACAGTCTTGGTAAATCAGTCAGACTTGAGATCAAAACTTAGCTCCACCACTTACTAGTTGTGAGATCATGGGCAAAGTCCTAATTTCTCTAAGCCTCAGTTTTCTTGACTGTAAGATGGGGGGAAAATAGTAGCTGTATTGTAGGATTGTATAAAGACTGGGATAATGCATGAAAAGCTCTCAGCACAGTGACTTGATTCTGTCATTAATAATAAAAGTGATGATCACAAGTGATTATGTCTGTCCAACAAAAAAATATAAGCATGATTCTTCCTCTGGGGACAGTTTCTATAAGACTTCCAACACTTCATATAAACTTCATATTAAAGCGAATATTCTCAGATGTAAACTGATTATAAAAAAAAACTAAAAATCTAGACTGTCACATAGTTTTAAAAATCAAAGATTAATAAAAATATACAAGATCTTACCTGCTGAGAGCTTTCTATGACAAGAGCTAAACCAAATTTTGAATCTCTAATCTTTATTGAACGCTAGAGGTAAAATGAAAAAGAAAAACATGCATGTTTTTATTAACTGAATAGGGACTCTTTAACACAGTTTTTAAACTTTACACAGTATTTACTTTTCATAGTCTAAAGAACAGAATTCTCCCTCCTTTCATTAAACTCCCACAGAGATCAAGTAAAAGAGACAAGACTCACACTGAAAATAGGTGGCAAACTTTTAAGAGGCAATACAAGAAAGACAGCTCTGAAGTATGTACAAAATTATCAGACTCAAATATTTCTCACTTCCAGGGAGTGAACTTTTTAAAAAATTAGAGACAATTAAATTAATTAGGTCTCACTTAGCCACCCAGGCCAGAGTACAATGGTGTGATCCCAGCTTACCACAGCCTCAAACTCCTGGGCTAATAGATCCTCCTCCTGCCTCAGCCTCCTGATTAGCTAGAACTACAGGCATGTGCCACCATGCCCAGCTAATTTTTTCTTTTTGGTGAGATGGGGTCACACTACATTGCCCAGGCTGATCTTGAACTCTTGGCTTCAAGCAATCCTGCTGCCTTAGCCTCCCAAAGTGCTGGGGTTACAGGCATAGCCATAGTGTCCAGCCTCAACTTTTAAACAAAAGGCTAGCAATCTTTTAGTTTTGGTAAGCCAGTGTCTTTTGTAGCTCCTAAGGCTAGATTAGTTTTTTAAAGTCACATGTGCCTTCTGTTTCTTACCTCATAGCCGGCTAAATTCTTAAAAGAACCTCTATTCTATTTATGTTTTTAAAATAAGTTTGGGCTGGGCACAGTGGCTCACGCCTGTAATCCCAGCACTTTGGGAGGCCCAGGTGGGTGGATCACCTGAGGTCAGGAGATCGAGACCATCCTGGCTAATAACAGTGAAACCCTGTCTCTACTCGAAATACAAAAAATTAGCTGGGTGTGGTGGCAGGTGCCTGTAGTCCCAGCTACTCGGGAAGCTGAGGCAGGAGAATTGCTTGAACTTGGGAGGCAGAGGGTGCAGTGAGCTGGGCAACAGAGCATACTCTGTCTCAAAAAAAAAAAAGTTTGAATATTTATCACTAGGCATCAAGGAAGGCTGGGATAGATCAAGTGTAATTAACATCAGCTGATAAATGTGATATGAGGACTAAGCTTGGTCAGCGGAAGATGGGCGTTGACCAGAGGCCTGGGAAAAGGGGAGAGTAGAAGCAGCATGGCAGGTAGGGCCTGTAGAAGTGACATAAAATGTACCTGCTGGCAGGGTAGGGGAGAACCATGGAGGACCTAACACTACGACCAGCAGACCAAAAACCCAGAAGAGGGTAATCTGGCAGGTGATGTTGGAATATCACGTTTCTAGACAGATGGGCAACTTTGAGAAAGAGACTTTGAGAAAGAGATTGAGAAAAAGATGAAAAGCTTTGATGATAATTGTTATGAAAACATGGCCTTTCACTTGGACTACTTTATACCCCACAAGAATATGTACAATTCCAGTTAAGAATCATAGAACACAGGCCAGGGGCGGTGGTCCACACCTATAATCCCAGTACTTTGGGAGGCTGAGGTGGGCAGATCACTTAAGTCCAGGAGTTTGAGACCAGCCTGGGAAACATGGTGAAACCCTGTTGCTACCAAAATTACAAAGAAATTAGCCGGGCATGCACACTTGTGGTTCTAGCTGTTCAGGAGGCTGAGGGAGAGAGGATTACCTGAGCCTGGGAGGTGGTGGTTGCAGTAAGCCAAGACTGTGCCACTGCACTCTAGCCTGGGTGACAGTGTGAGACCCCTGCCTCAAAAAAAGAAAAGAAAAGAAACAAAAAGAATCATAGAACACTGGCACTTTGGCTTTCAATAGGTAATCTAACCAGGTGTCTGTGGGTGACACAGGCTGGTAAGACAGAAACTGGCAAGAAGCTGATATATATGTAACTATAGGAGTGGGGTTGGGGTAATGGCTGAGGTGCAGAGCTGAAGTTAGAAAATGACTGCGGCCCTGACAGACGGTGATGATATCAGATTGCAAGTTGTTTGGGCCAGCTTGAATTCATTCCAGAGGCCATATTTGGCAACTCTATTCTTAAATAATGAAAAGAACAGAAAGCACAAGGTTGTTTACTATTCAGTAATTATTCAGCATAATAGAAGTTAGGTTAGGCAAGCTGTAACACGTTAATGCAATATAAAAAAGCAATAGTAATACAAACACAAATTTGTCAAATACCTATGTAGATTTTGTCACATCGTCCCAGCCTTGATTATAAATTTTTATATTTCTTTTGATGGCCAGAAATAATTTTCTTCCTATGCGATTCTATGACTTTCTGTTTAATATGTTGTTTTTCTCCACCAGACTGAAAGCCCCTTGATGGCAGGAACTGTATACTGGTTCATGATTTTCATGACTGTATCTCTAGCACCTGGCACAGAGGAGGTGCTCAAAATTTAGCATATAAATGCATGAATTATCAGAAATTTAAAACTCAGAAATTAAATAATTTAGCCAAAGATAGGGTTGGGAATATTTTGCAAAGAATTATTCGTCTCATGGGCCAGGAATTCTTTTCTTAAAAATGGTATTTTCTAGGTATCACATACATTCTGTCTACTCAATAAATATTAATAAAACTCCCTAGTCTTAAGACTATACATCCTACAATAAGGGCAGTTATCTCAGGATAACCTCATATGATTTTCATTAACTATTTTTATGTTCCATCTAATTTGTACTAGAATTCTGAAAGTAGTTTTTTTACATAAAACAAAATTACTTAGTGTATTGGAATTTACACTTTGTTTCACTGAGTCACTTATTTATCATAGCAGCAGCACAGTAAAAAGAACTATCTTTACCTACTCCCCAAACAAATTAGTCTCAGATATAGTCAGTTCTTATTTTGAATTTTAATTGTTTTGGTTTTTGTGTAAAAAAAAAAAAAAATAGACAAAGGGTCTAGTTCATGCTGGTCTTGAACTCCAGACCTCAAGCAATCCTCCCATCTCAGCCTCTCAAAGTACTGAGATTATAGGAATGAGCCACCATGTCCAGCCTGATTTTAATAGTTTTAATTGAACTTAAGCTGAAAGTATTATCACTAAAAATCATCTTGATTCCTTTCATTAAACCTGTGGTATGAATCCAGCTTGTATTACATTCTGTGTCTAAATACAATGAAAGCAGTTCATTCACAGAATTAATAAATCCTTCTGGCTTTCAAAAGCTTTGGAGCAGAAAGTGACAAGAGAGTCAAGAAAACCTGTGGATCAGTGTGCTAAAGCTATGCCAAGGAACCACCATATACTTGCTTCACAAAAAGGTTACAGAAAACTTTAATAGTTAAAGCCTTCTGGATGGAATCTGAGAGGCACCTCACTCTGTATAACTATTTAAATTTTTAGAATCCAGTATATTTCTTTTCTAATAGCAAGCGGGCAATAGTGCTGCTTCTCTGGAGAGTAAGTACAATTAGATCTTTTCTATGTTGAAATATTTCATAGTAAATTATCAACATCTTTACAATATACTCAGCTAATAACTGCTACCACTTAAAAAAGGGGGCAGAACTCATCTAATCCTAAAAGTCCCATTAACTATTGAACAAAAAATATTTATTCTACATGAAAATAAGGTCATCAAAATGTATGTACTTACAATTTGCAGATATGGTATACTGACATTAAAACTATCATTCATATTTGCATGCCACACAATTCTCACATTGGTAATAAAAAATGTTCCTAAATTGCCCTGTAAAAGACAGTAATGAGAGATACAGAAATGATCATTTTTTGGATACCTATTCTTTATTTTCTAATCACCAGAATAATTCTTATTACAGCAGCAAATAATACCAAAATTGAGTATCAATGACTTCATGATTCATTGATAGCAGTACAATTAGATAACTAACAGCCTGGACTCTGCAGTCAGGCTGCCTAATCATTAAACCATCAGTACCTACCAACTGTCTGACCATGGGGAAATTTCTTCTTGATGTATTTTGTCAAATGTAAAAATGGAGGTCTGATTAAATATCCCACGTGAATAAATCCCTTAGCACAGTGCCTGGCACATAGTAAGCAATCTACAAATGTTAGACCTTACTAAAATTAGTATTCAAAACCTTGGATAAGTCAAAGCAAAGAAGTTGTGTCAAGAAAGAGAAACAAAACATATGTAATAACCCCCATCAATCCACATTGCATTGTTTATAAGGGTAGGAGTTCCATAGTTAGATCTTTACCACCTAGCATAGCACCAGGAATTTTTGATTCATTAATTAAAGAGACAGTACAGGACTGGAATACCATTTTATTGAACTGAAAATAGGAATGTTACTGTCAACCTAACTTGTGCTTATTGAAAAATAATATGCTTTCCTATAATGCTAATTTTAACAATTAGAATTGACTATATAAATCCAATGATGAATGGAAAAATGATTACCAAAACACTGTCCCAAAAGGTTCACTAGTTCTTTGAACAATACCTGATCACTGGATAAATTCCATACTCCATTGATTTTATCATATACATGTTCCTGTGGTAACAGTCTTAATTGCTTGTTCTGAATTAGTGCACTTCTCAATTTAAAATCACGATACATTTTAGAAGTTTCATATGCTCTGTGAAAAAGAACAGATAAAAGACAACCCAAACTGAAGATGTGGTTTTCTGGGGTTATGTTTACTTATTTACTAAAACATATAGTTGTTAGTATTTATGTACATCACTCAAACAAAGCTGGACACAAACTCCTGGGCTCAAGTGATCCTCCTGGCTCAGCTTTCAGCGTACCTGGGACTATAGGCATGTGCCACTGCACCCAGCTATATTTTTCTTTTTTTTTTGGG